CTCTTTGAGATCCATTTGCAGACTGCCCTCCCTCCCTCCCTCCCTCTACAGTGACTCGCTAACTACTTTTGTACTTTTCCTACAGCCCGTGGAGGGAGACTCTGGGGTAGTCAGAAATACAGCAGGAGGTCTGGCAGTTAACATCATGATGCCTGGCTCCCACTGGGAAAGTTGTTACAGCGGGGGGCATATTCAACACTACTTTCCTGCCAGGAAATGCCAAGCACACAGTGGATGAAATCACTACACTACTAATACAAAGACTTCAGTCAGATGCATAGATAATTGTTTGTGTCTAACTGCTGCTTTTAGCTTAAGTGGTAGTGGTTACTGGACTTGCCATTATAAAGTGGTCTGGAAATAAAAAACTGAAAACTTTCTCCAGTGGATGTGCAATAAAACTACTGTACTTTCCATGTAGTAAACAGACAGAATTGGAGAACCTGAATTTCTTGAAATCCTTTAAAGGTAAATCAGTCTAGCAATGCTAGCTCACAAAATATGCATATGCTAAAATTTTAGGATTAAAAACCCCAAAGGGGCACGTCACCAACTTGATACAAGAAGATCACTCTATTCATTATAGATAAAGCCAACCCTAAAAAGTAGAAAGCTTGTGTTAAAAACTGAGGGTGTGGTGTCTGTAAAACATGGGTGTTTACCAGACAAAGTTTTATACTGAGAAGCATTATGGAAAATTTAGCACCTATGGAGCTTCACCCATACAACAACTGCAATGTGTGACACATAAAACTGAATCAAACAAACAAGGTTAATAAAAATAAAACAAAAAAAAAAATGAAAATAGGCAATGCAATTAGAAGCCTAAGAGAAAAAGCACATCTTATTAAATAGGAAGAACTCAGCTGATCTAGCGAGGAAGAACAAATTCCACTATTACAGAGGCATCGCCACATATCACTTGGCACAAAAAAAATAACCCCAGTTAAATGACTAAAGGGATTTAGATGAATTGTGGGACTGCAGGCCTTAGGAGATAAAACCACTGGATGGACCATGTAAGACCTTCAAAACAAACAGCAATATTTTAAACACAATTAACCTCACAGGGAGGCAGTGTAGTGACACTAAGGCCGGTGTTATATTGTCGGTTTTATTGGAGCCTGACAGAAGCCTGCCGAGAGATATTGGATGATCTGCAAACAAGACAAAGAAGCTTGACTGATCCCAATATACAGGAACTTTTAATAATCAAGGTGTGCGGTGAATGCAGAGATGAGCTTTTTTTTTTTTTTAGGTACGAAAGACATAGGCAGGGGTTGTATTTATAAATAATCCAGAGTTGATGAAAGCAGGATCTCCTGACAGAATTTATCTGTGTTTGTCGAATTTCAGGGTAAGATTAAGTGCTGAGCTGAGTTCTTTTGCCTGTAGCTCAAGAAAGGCAGACAACACTGGTGACAGAACTAAATGACTGGTGTCTGGCGGGCTTAAGATAACCCCAGGTTTACTCTGATTTACCCAGAGAAAGCTGTGCCATCCATTAGTCATCCAGCATTTTAAATCAACTACACGCACAAAGTCTTTTTGCAGGATTGTTTAATTTTAATAAAAAGCTTTGTGTCTAGGGGTGCAACAAGACTTATATTGTCATCCTATGGTATTAGAACAACTCAGTAGTCCATTTAAAATGGACTACTGTTCCAGGGGAAATATTAAGGATTCAGCAGTGTACAAGTATTGTACCACTGACTGACTATTGCCAAGTAATGTGATTAAACTGCACCACACCGGTTCATCCATTAATCAGTCTAGTTTCATGGAGCTGACAGAGAGTCAAACATATACACTTTATGTTAAACTAAAGCAAGACTAAGCTCAACTGAAACACATAATCCCATTGCTTGCATCTTGCCAAAAGTGTCATGGGATCTGTTGCAGGATGCAAACTATTTTTGATTTACTTGTTCTGTGCTTCATCTGAGGAACTTTTAAATTGCATCTGCTCCCATAGCGATTTGCAGTTGGTGAGAACGTTATTAAAAAAGACAAGACCTCATACAGAGTATTCTTTTGGCCTTCATGTGTGGCCCTCATTGTGTTTGTGCTTCATTCAAACACAACACTGTACTAAGCACAGGAAACTGTCAGAGAAAGTCACTAATTAATATGATAATACTGCACTATATAATGATGAATAAGCACTAGAAAGAGAGAGGAACTCATATGCAGTGTTGGGCTTGTTACTCAAAAAATGTAATATATTACTCATTACTATTAATTTAAAAATTAATATTACTTTGCTTATTATTCTTTGTCAAGAGTAACTCACTACACTACACTACATTACTTTTCCGTTATAGCCCACAGGCTGGTAATTGCGTCCTTTCTCCTCAGAATACGCCTCCTAGGTGTGAGAATGGTGGGATAATGACCAGTAAGTGCAGCTAAGGTTTCAAACTAGCATTTTTTGAAGCCTATGAACCCATAAAAGTTACAGGCTAGAAAGGGACATCATCTATTTCCAACCGCCCGAACACAGGCATTTCCATCTTCCGAGCTAGCTTACTTGCTTATGCTATGGCACTGCTAATAGTGATGCGTACTGACATGTGCACATGTGACGACTATGAATATTAAATGTCGGATTTCAAATTATTTTTTGCCAACAAAAGTAACATTGTAACGAGTTGTTTTTGAAGAGAGCAAGTGTAATATTATTACTGAAATTGTACTTGTAACTTTTTACACTAGTCATTACTGGGGAAAGTAATATTATTACATTAACATGTTATGGCCCAACACTGCTCATGTGTGTCACACAAATGTTTTGATTAATGCTTCAACAGTAGCCTGCTGTTTCAGAACTGTGTCACAGCCCCCTCTGTGTCTTCTATAGCTGCTGTAGCAGATGCAAAAATAAGAGAAAAAGAAAATCCTTGGAACATCTTTTAAGGAGCAAAAATTAACAGCAAGGATAGGGCTGTGTGTCATGGAGGCAATTAAGGCAGAGCTAAACAGCTCCTTACGGACTCCACCAGCAGACAGCGAGACCAACCCCTGCGGGGGAAGCTACACGAGGTCAACTCTCCACTGGTCTGCCAGTTGGCCAAAAGATACCTCTGTCTCCCTGCTGCCTGCACCCGTGCTGAGAGGGTGTTGAGCACTTTTGGCAATATTGTGATTTGCCATGCAGTAGGTTAGCAATAAAGCCCGACTCAGAGAACAGGCTTGTTTTTTTGGCACATACTGTTAACAGTGATGTATACTAGCCAGGGCCGTTTTGCCTTATTTAAAAAGCAAGTTGGAAATGTTTATTATTTCTGGTGCCTGGTTACAGACCCAGAGCATAATAAAGGTTATTTGGAGCCAGAAATGTTTGTTTCTCCTTCAAGTGCACTATTGAAAAATGAATGCGTGCAGTATGCCTTCTTTTATGGCATTTAGAGTCTGAGAGAATGTGTACTTCAGCTATTATTACCTTTATAGTTTTACCGTTTTATGATGTAGTACTGTCAGATAATGGGCACAGTTTATCTATAATATGAAGTATAGCCACCAGATTCTTAGGGGTGACAAGACTAACAGATTTTAAGCTATATCTTCTACAAGAAAAAACACATATGGGTACTAAAAGTGCCTAATGTAATGGAAGATTGACAATGATATTATCAAAATCTGATCTGAAGATTTGCATCATTATGTTTAAGGTGTTTGCACAAAAATCAAACAGTGTTTTATTAACTGGAAACCATGTGGCCACCCCAAATGCCAGATTGCTGTAGGGAAGCAAGACCCAAACACCCCAAAGCAGCAGTACAAGGCACTGGTGAGAGTGTGAGGTTGGATAATGGCCTAAGGGCACAGGGAGGGTTCCAGATCCCTTTGCCACCTTGTAAGGATTACAGGTTTGAATTTGATATGGGCAGCCACAGGCAGCCAGCAGAGAGAGAGTTAGAGAGGGCCAGCAGAGGAGAGCCATAGGAAATCTGAGAGTCTTGCATGTTTTCTTGTTTCTTGTGTCTAGACTGTCTTTATAGAAAATATTCTTTTATCACTACAACATGAAAATCTACACAAACAAAGGCTTCCCAAGCGGCCCCAGTGGTTTAATCATCTGAATACCATTGGGAACTACATAGGTTTTGAACTCTATTAAAATATGAAATGCTACAGCATATAATGTTTGAGTTCCTGTAGGAAAACCATCACTCAATTCAAGTGACTCTAAAACATCTATGCTGCACCTCTCCCTACAGACCAGATGTAAAATCCTGATTAAAGGTGCAAGAAAAACAAGAGAACAAGAGCTCTTTTAAGTCTTGAGAAGGAAATGATGTCAGAACACAGACCGGGACATTATTAATATCTGTCTTTGAACTTTAAGTTGACAGAAATATGCTCTGGAGGCCTGTCTGAGCTTATACATGTTTAAATAAATATGTTTTAGCATGAAAACCAACAGCATACTATAGAATATAAATGCTCAAAATACTATATATCAGTTGCTTACCAGAGGCTGCAACAGTGATGCACATAAACAAGGCTAATTGCACCACGTGACCTTCCATCTCTGTTAAGTTTAGGCTTCCGGAGTTGGTGGAAGATGAGTCTGGGTCTTCAGGGTGTGAATATACTTAGTGGTGAATGTGTCCTGGTCTAGTGGCAGCACAAGAGCAGATAGTTCCAATCTTTAAATGATGAGAGGTCACATAAAGAGAAGTCAGGCATTCAGTAAGGAGATGTGATGGTTATATGACCAACTACGAATCTCAAAACATGTCACCTCATGCTCAAAATACAAATGTTAAAGCAAGCACCTTATGCACATCTATCACATGTAAGCTGAGACATCTTTTAACACTTACAGTATAACTCAAGTATATTCTCTAATGTTAATTAACCATATATATGGTAATAACTAGGCCTATTAATGACTAACATGAATATAATAAGTCAGTTTACACCTTATAAGATAATTGGTTTAAATAGTAGTTCCATCCAACAGAACAATGGAAACGATAGTGGACACTCTCACAACCTACTTAACACTGACAGTGAGGGAACTGTTGCTTAAATACTTTGAGGAAGATGACAGGATGTTCAATATCAGTATTTCTCTAAACTCCAGGGTTATCTGGTGGTCATGACTGTTTCAGGAAGCAGCACGGCATGGCTTTCTTTAAATAATACCACAATGCCGAAATCAGATAAGAAATAAACTGCTCTTGTTATAAGATTCATATAGAGGGAAGTGAAGAGCCTGTGTAAACTGTTATGCTCTTCCAAAGCAAAACAAAAAGTCACGTTATGTCACCGGATTTCTTGCAGTAAGAGAGAAATTTCTTGAACCAGCAGTATAATTACAAAGCGGGTAAGAATGAATCAACTAACAGGCCTAATACTGGGATTAATGAGGCGAAACAGTATGAACAGTAAGGATCCCTTATAGACAACAGTCCGGCTTTTTGGCCCGAATTACTTCTTTTATACATTTCAAAACAAACGTAAAATGGACTGGACTGAGACTATGGCTACATTTACCGCCCCCTACCACATCAGAAAAATAAAATATACCACATAGCCTTTCCATGAGGAAACACAGAAGTCAAAGAATGTGAACCACAAAACTTACTCTTCAGCTAGGGTGGCTTTCTTGAAAAAAGTCGACTTTATATTCCACGGAACTGGAAGGATGTTGATGTGACTGCATTCAGCGAAGTGTCGGTGCCAGGACTTTCCAAACTTTTTGAGCAGCCTGGGAGGTGCAGCCTCGCTCCCGCGGCCCTCCCACTTCCCCCGCGTCTCTCTAAGCGCAGCCCATGTCAGGCTCTTATCTGATCAACACAGACTTTGTTAAAAATAGGCCAGTCAGTGTGTAAATCTCAGCTCAGTCGTGATTTTATAGCAGTGATGTTTATTTTAGGCTATAATTAAATGTCTTTAAATCTTTATAGATGGCTGCATTTTACTGTAATTATTAGTTCACCTCTACCTGCCTCAGGTTGGTGTTAACCGTTACACTAACAACACGTTATGTAACACTTCGATACAAAAGGTAACGCATTCAAAAGAGAGGACAAAGGAGACCATGTTTCATATGTCTAAGTCCTAAGTTGACTACTACCAGATCCAGCCAGTTTAGGTTTAAGTGGCGACGTTAAATTGTCCAACATGGTTGCGTAAAGAAGCGTATCCAGAATTAAAACTGTGCCAGACTGAGAATCACAATTGTACAGATGTGTTCACAGAATTCATATCAACTTTCGACCTGCACAGCAGCACACGTTGCACATCTGCTACACAGCAGTGTAATATGTGTGTTTTCTTGTCTTGCAAATTACCAACAACAACAACTGTTGAAAACAGTAGGTATGTTGCTTATTATTGCCTCACACTGCCACCGCTTGTGTTTCAACCTGACAGCAAGGTTAAGATGCTGACTTAAATGTTTTTCCTCTACATTTCTCCAGATAGGTCTTTAATTAAGTCCACTCTGCCCTTAGCTCTTCTTATGCTGCATAAATATGCTTAAATTTGTTTCTCCTTTTATGCTTTTTCTATTTTTCAAAGTGTACCTGTTAACATATTGTACCCAGACTCATTTATAACCTAACATTAGCCTATGGTGAGCTTTTGTATGCCTCACTGTTGCAATTTCAATGCAGTTATGGTGCTATTATGGAAATTATTTACCTAATGTTAGTCAGAGGTCAATGCTATGTTTTATGGATACACTTCAAAAAATGATGCATAATTTAAAAGCATTACAATGTGGCTTTTAGTGAAAATTATTTACATATTTTCACTTAGCTCTAATAAATGTGTGACAGAAGTATCCATCCAAATGTAAACTATAACCAGAGCACTGGCAAAAGAAAATGTGAGTTAATGTGTGTTACCATCCACTGCTGTTATGCAAATACTGGAAGTGAAACACATAAATAAATAGTTGGCAACACTAATTCTCAAGTTGGATACTAAAAAGCATTGCCGAAAATCTCCATCCAACTGATTATTTTTTTTATTTTGTGTAGCTGAAGTAATTCATTCAGTCCCTGAGTTATATATTTGATATATTACATTAACAAGCTTTTTCACCTTGTGCAGACTAATTGTGTATACAGTGTGTGCATCTAAAATAATGAGGTGCCTTGTTATTTCCACAGAAGCAAGCCAAATGTTTCAAGGAACAGCTTGTTTACCACAGAATGTCACTAGGGAGAGAGGCATTAACTGAAGGTCAAAGATTATACAGTGTGCAAAGTTATCATTTTCATTATGCCTCCTCTCCTTTGAGAAAGTATTGGAAACTAAGTGAGTTATGCATCATCAGTTATGTGAAGAGAAGCAAGGATAGATAGTAGCTGCATCTGGAGACTATAGGAAGAGTGCGAACTTTTGCAGAAAGGAAAGCCAGCGGCAGATAAGACTCACAAGTGTAAAGGAGTGGGAGGAATAGAGAGGTGAGGGCACCGGCTAGGAGACTTTATTTGTGCATGTGTCTTGTTTAAACAATAAAAGGATCAGTGTTGCTAAGACTGTTGATCTGAATCCCATTAATATGTCTGGTAGAGGAATGTTATGACAGACGGCACAACAAGATGACATAATTAAGCCTAATTAATTTGTGGACAATTACCACCTCATCAGTCCACACAGATCTGGAGACATAGATTGGCAGCCACCTTCTATTCTTGACTGACAGCTAAGTCACACGAATGTCATGATTTATTCAAACTGTTTAGCAACATTTTAACTGTTATTTTGAATTTCTATCATTTCCACAGTTTATGTGCAAATTGAAATGCACATAATCCGAGTAAATTAAAACATATTTAGTGAAGACAATATGCAGAACAGGCCTTTTCAAAGCAGACTCTGACACACACTTTGACAAAAGCACAGGTGAAACCAATGGCATTAACACTGGATCGGTTCCATTAAGTAACACCAGTAAGCTACTGTAGCATGCACAACGACAGAACTTCAGCTAATTTTTACTTACTGTTATCAGTTACACATGCGCTATTCTGACTTTGATATGTCAGTATGTCTTCTGTGAAAAAGATCTAAAACCAATAAGTGCAATTTAACCTTAATTTTATTATTAACACTGCTGCGTTTCCACATTTACTGTAACTCACCAAAAAGTCTTTCTTGAAATAGACTTACCCAGCTCAGTCTGACATTCCCTCACAGTCCTGGGAGGAGGACTAATCAACCACAATAAGAAAAACACTCGTGTGTGTGTCATGGGTGTGTGAGACTAGTATTAAAAGCCAGAGACAACTGTGAAAAGATATATGTGTATATATTTAGTCTGAACCTGTGAAATGTTACTAAAATTACTTATTGTTGATTGTACAATCTGCCCTCACTGGAAGCACTGGGCAATGTAAAAATTTGAATGATCATTTTATGTAATGTTTCATATCATATTTTGTATTTGCTTATTTAAAAGAATCTCTGTACTGTTGGTTATTTTGCTCATCTTGATCAAACCTAAAAATAAAAAAGCAAAAACATCCCTTGCAAGAACAGCATTCTTCTTTGACCACAGCACCACTACCATTTTCTGAGGAAAAACTGACTGGTGCAAAAAGGTAGACACAACATCTTTTCTGTACTGAAAAGACTCTGAGGAGTCATCATCCCATCAAACAAACTCTCCCCACAAAGTCTACTGGCAGAGCAGTGAAGCAGCAGAAAAACAGACATATGCACTGGACTAAACTTCAACAAAAGGCTACAAAAGCCTTTAGAACAATTACAAAGCTGCTGTAGCAAACACAGCAGCTCTCTCTGTTTACCTCTCTGTCTGTCTGGCCCATATGTTGTAAACATCAGGACCCAAGAAGAGAGCTCTATCTTTTTCCATTCTCAGTTGTGTGAGAAATTTGTTCCTTGATATTAGAAAAAAAAAAGTTGAAAGAATTATTCATATCTGATTTCTCATATATCGAACAGAAATCATGAACATACTGCACCTGCACACATCACAAAAGGGCTTGTTACAGATCTAGCAAACATGGTAAATACAAGTCCTGAAGATTACTGTATAGGCCTGAAGAGCAGGTACGGGACAAGTGCGCCCTGACAAACTGATCAATGTTTATTAGTAGAAGAAATTAGAGAATGTTTGATACCCACTTTAATGAATCATAATCTAAGCTAAAAATTCACATACATAAGACACTATAAATAAATGTGTCATTTTAAAAGAAACTTTTTGTCCACTTCAGTTGTGGACAGATATAATCTAATTGATCTAAGTGCTTAATGACTAATTGAATAATTGACGTTAGAGGGTTAAAACCTCACTTCACATCAACACGGGACATTCAGACAGACTTATTTTCTGAGATGAGTTGATATTCTGCTTACTTGCCTTGGCCTTATTCCTTCAGGCAGCACGAATAGAGAAACACACATGGGATTTGACACTAAGTACAGACAGCTTTACACTGTTTGTATTTTCTGTTACTTAAATGATTGCAATCCTCTAGTAGCTGGATTTAATAACTGAGGCATATGTCACGGTTGACATTTATTAAAGGTACTCAGTCACATACGAGGCTGGCCAAAGGACATTTCTACAGTAGCACTCTGCTTCAGTGGCATTCCTTTTTATTGAAGCCTAAGCTCTCCACCCCCACCCATGAGTAGAGTTTCAATAACAGGAAACAATCGGCCGTCGTCTTTCATCAGAAGTTGATGTTGGTTCCCGCACGGTGCCACTGGGTCTCTGTGGTGCCAGTCGGCCAGCCCGTCACAGTACACAGCAGAAGAGAGAGAGAGACAATAAAGAGTAGGGGCCAGCTTGCTCATTTCCTTATCGTCCTCCAGTGAGGGATCTGACACATGGCTTTGCAGGAGCAATATCCGAAACTGATACCAGATGAACAGAAGCCTGTCAGCTATACAAAGTCATTTTATAAATCTATAATCCTATAAGTCAGATAATCAACAAGGCCCTCATCATAGAAATATTCCATCTGAAAAATCATACCTCTGTTTTGAGTGTAATCCAGGGCTTTTGCTGGAGGTGCAGTTAAGCGCATGGTCCTAGTCAGTTTTATATTAGAGTCACAAAGCCGCATGTAATTGTCTGTGACTGTTTAAAATGGGGTTATTTTCTCAGTAAGCCAAGTTGAAAGCTGCAAATGTCCTCACGTCACCCTTGGACGCATGGTAGTCCAGAAGGCAATCCACATTTCATACTGCATGTTGCAGTTACATTTAGCTCACCAGCTTTTCTTTAGAATCCACGGGCCACTAGTATTGGTAAATTGTATTTGATATTTATAACTGACTCTAAATTACTTACTTTGTAATAATGTCAGACTCTGCAATGAAAGTAAATGCATGCAATTATATTATAAACAACTGGCTAATTAAATATATAACCTTATTTATCTGCCTTATTGGAAGCCTTATACACAGGGTTACATTTCCTTGACTAGTAAACCCATTTCAAGGATTTAACTACCTCTCCCAGATGGGGGGGGATATTTGATTACACCTATCTGCATGTGATAAGTGAGTCCTTAGCCCTCCCTCGTTGAAAGAATGCAGGCTTTTTGCATGTGTCCAATCATTTACTGTATTTATTTGCTGGTCTTATTTCTTCTTCGAAAGATGATACACTGAACTGAGATATCCAGACATGTAAATATTTTGCTCTTCCTTTATTGTTGGCCCTTTGCACTGCTACTGTATTTTGACTTGATCAGATACCACCGTGTCTTTTTTATATTATGACAGAGGGGCTCTGATGTTTGAGATTGTTCATATCCTACACAGGGCTTTGAGTAAATGATCCATATTTGACAGCTCAAGAGATCATCCTCAAATTTAAAACTGCATCACACAGTGACGCATGTCTCTAATTTTTTCTCCCTACTGTACGTGATAAATTCCACTGTGATCTCCTTTCTTCGCCTTTGTTTTTGTACCTTTATTAGGAAAGATCAGCATTCTTAGCATTCAAGCAGCATCCTCGATGACTTTTTGAAAGTGCTTACAAACGCCTTTCCTTGATTGACTTTCCGAAGGACACATCCTGTCCCCCTTCAGAAGCAGTTTTCCTCTTCCTACTCCCAACACTGCAGAGACATGATCAGAGCGCTCCTTGGAGGATAGCCCGGATACATGTTGCAGTGTTTGCTCAGCCAGGTGGAAGTGTGTGTGTGTGTGTGTGAGGAAGGTGAGAGGTAAAGGAAGACATCTCAGGCATCATGAGCTCACAGGAAAGGTTATAATAACAGCAGTTAGCAGCATGTCCTGTGTCCTGTTGTGTCTGCATGCTCCAGCACCTTGACCATGTTTTCTTAAGAGAAAAGTATTTCCTTTTTTACCCTGGAAGTGCCGTCCAAGTCCCTTGTTTATGCGTGTGTTGGCGTTAGAGTATGTGTTTGTCAGTCAATCTGCACGCCACTACACTGTACTGATGCACACGCATCTTTTAAATAATCAAATGCAGTTACCGTTAACAAACTAATTTCAAATGCTATATATTTTCTCTTATAGTTTAATTTTCTTTCTTTTTAACATATTCCACATTTTTACATATACCACCATTATCAATTATTAAAGATTAGCTAATTGAAAATACATCATTAATTTTCACTAAAACCCACACTGTGCTATTTTTAAATAGACAGCTATTTTACATGTGTACACCTTGATGAAAAATCCTAGAAAGCATCTGTGCTTTAAATATGGTTGTAAATAGATGAATAGAAATGAACGTTGCCCACAGTGGGTCATTTCTGCCATTGTTCATTGGCACAGCCTTAAAGGTGTTAAAGTCTGTTCTTTTTCCCCTGAGCTCTGGACTTTGTGTGGTAGAGTAAAAAATGACTGTGTAAAGTGCAGGTTTGGCCCAGAGTCAGCATGGTGCCTCAAAGGTTAGGAGACGGTTGACATATTGTATACAGTAGCTTTTGAGATGTCACTGGCATACAAGTTAATAACTACAGAATAGAAGCAAGACTCACATGAGGAAACCAAATAGATTTCTAGATGCTGCTTTAAGCAGATTCATTATTAAGTGAGATTATAATTGTATTGACTGTTATTGCTGGATTAGTAGTCAAATTAAGGCATTTTAATAGCCTTCAGTTTTTTTGTTTTTTGTTGTTTTTTTTTTAAACCAAGATGAGGAAGGGTAATATTTCTGTTGTTCCTGTTTTGTCCTTTAAAAATTGATACAGAGAAAATAAAAATAAAATAACAACCAGATATAGGTCATCTAGTTACTGCATGTTGTTTACTTCAGTGCATCAATAGTTTGGGAGACTTGTTTGAAGACTTCATCCGCTGGTGGCTCAGAGTCAATCTAGGCGAAGCAAAATTACAGCATATGTAAGAATATATGTAACAATTCATGCAAAACTCTCTGTGATTGTTTTTCATTGTTCACTGGCACTGCAGTCATACGCACCTTCCTGACAATACCACGGGATTCGTAAAAAGCAATGACAGGCTCCGTTGCTTTGTAATACAGGTCCAGGCGTTTCTTGATGGTTTCCTCATTATCATCAGAACGTCCACTGGTCTCGCCACGCTTCAAAAGTCTCTGAACCATGGTCTCTCCTTTTGCATCAATGTACAGCAGCAGGCAGGGTTTGCCAATCTAGAAACATGTTTGCTCATTTAAGCATTCATCTGCAGAAATGAATTATAGGTCCAACATCTCATGTCCTACCTTCTTCTCAAACTCCTCGCCCTGCTTCACTTCACGGGGGTAGCCATCAATAAGGAAGCCCTTGGAGACATCAGCCTTGGCAATCATGGCATCCTTAATCATATCTAAGACTGTGTCCTGCAAGCAGCCCCAAAACATTATGGTCAACCTTCACAATAGCACTTCTGATAAAATATAATGTAAAGTATATATTTTGATCTGGTTTGTGCAAAAATTAGCTTAAATAGATAAAGACAACGCTCAGCAAAAGAGCAACATATAAAACCAAACAAACAAAAAGCAATAGTGTCTTACCAGGGGTACAAGCTCTCCCTTTTGCATGATGGCCTGGAGATGCTTGCCCCTCTCAGAGCCAGAAGCCACCTCAGCACGGAGCAGGTCCCCAGATGACAGATGGGTGTATCCATACTTTGCAACTACCTTCTCACATTGGGTGCCCTTCCCAGAGCCAGGCCCACCTGAAAAAGAAAGGCAGAAAGCAGGATGGAAATAGCTGCTACAGTAGATGGTTAAATGTGTTGCTGCTAAAAATGAGTCACAGTTCAAATTGAGTGTACTCACCCACAACAAAGATGATCTTGGCATCTTTAATTTTGTCTGAAATAAGCATGTACAAAAGAGATGAAGCTCAAACGTGAAAATGGCAACGCTTTCATCCAACCAAAGCTGAATACACAAGCAAAGGATCTGTGTAACAAACCTTTTTCATTTTGTCTGCTAGATGTAAATTTATCAGAACAAATATTTCCCATTTTTAGTTGCAGTGCAGAGAGTATCCTGGTCCACTAGGCTGTTTCGCTTGCTTTGGCGTAGATTTGTGCTATTGCTCAAACAATGTTGCCATGGCAATAGTTGTCACCTAATAATGTTACTGTATGAAGCTAGATGCAACTGTTCACAGAGGACTACTGGAAAAGTCCGATTTTAAATATTACAAAACTCAATAAAAAAAAGGCAATTTGGTATTTTTTTAAAACTAAATTATATTAATTTATTTTGATCTAGCCGCCCCTGCTAGGCTAGTGGTTGCGCCCCGGGTTCGAATCCAGGTTGCGTCAGGAAGGGCATCCGGCGTAAAACACGTGCCAAATGTCAACATGCGATTCGTCAGTGTGACGATTTATTTTCACCTAGATCTTCGTACTATATTGTATGTTTTATGAATGAAATATCATGAATATAGGCTCATAATACAATATTGTTAAGTAAATGAAAGCATTTTTGTTCAATAAAAAATGGAACACATATATATAAATACAGTACCTTTAAATGTAAAATTACCTCCACTATATCCTCAAGAATCACCAAAAGAGGGCAGCAGTGTACAAGAAAAGACAACAAGCCTGCCTCTTGTCTAATTTCAACATGATATTGATAATAAACTATACAAATGATTGCTTCCTTTATCATTAACAATCACTAATGCATAATATATTGTCTTAATTTAAACAATGTAATATTTACCTGCCATTGTGTTGTGTTAGATGGCTGTTTTCCTTAATCTAAAAGAAAGAAAAGGACAAAGGATTACTGTATAAGCAATTTCCCTCACTGTCATGTTATAATAGTTTTCACTTTTCACTGCAGTTTTTCACACTCCACTTCAGGCTAATGTATTTGCTTGTCACCCGATCCCTTGCTTCACAACTACATGCACACTATGGTAATCAAGTAACCTGAAAAGTTGCTGATAGTGATCATGTGGCTGTTTGCACATGGGTGTGTACTGGCTTTTAGAAAAAATCCTGCCACGTTTCTTCTGGGTCACAGATCCTACACACACCCAAAAAACTGTTACAGTCCCAGAATGATAAGCAAATAAATATAGGGCATTATAAGGGCATACACTGCAGCAGAAAAAAACATTTTATAGTAATACTATGTATATGCCAAATGATTCTTGTATTTCTAGAGGCAAAGTGTTTACTGGTTCACCAGAGAATGCACCGCTGCTGAAAATGCTACCAAACTGTCCTAAAGTTCTCACTTGCAACACTCCTCAGGACTGGCGGCACTGCTTCTCAAGTGTCCAGATTTATTGTATGTCAGAGGTCAGGAACCTTGTGGCCCATGTAAATATCACTTGAAGGCTGGCATCTGAGTCAGCACAGAGCCTCTTTGGGAATCCCGCTCTGGCCTATTTTGGAGCCATAATTTCTGGGTCACCTGCTTCTTAAACATGTCAGATGTGTTCTCGTTCTAGTACAGCACGAACAACATTACTTGGCTCTCGCTGTGGGAATTATGCTAAATCCTGGATGAAATCATGGAAGGGAAACTCTCTCAACTGAAACTCGAGCAAGACTTTGCTGCATTGTGCTTCTGCTAATACATTTCCTAATAAAAATAGTATTACATTTGAGATTTGGCAAAGTGTTTGAACTGGACATTCCACCTGTGGACAAATCCTTCTGACTAGGATTGCATTCCTATTGTCTCCCCTGAAATGCATGACTCTTTTACAATAGCGTAAATAATGCAATACTGTACAATTAAAAGCAGCATGTAAAGAACTTGACATGTCAGTGGTGGTATATTTAAATATGATGTTTTTTTTATAATTCTATTCTTGAATTAAAATATGGAAATAACTGGACTGAGTACAACCCCCACCTCAGTGGAAGTTCATCTTTCCTGTCCCACCCTCATGTCTTATTACAGGTTTTTAACATGCAGCCCTGCTAAAAAAAGACCCAGTTAGTCTGCAGCTGTTAAGGGATAGTGTGTCAACCATTCTTAAAAAGCTCATGGGGTCCAAGCTTTTCCTTACTGGCCCTGGATGCTATAGGAGTAAGAACAAAGTACTGAATACTTGATCTATTAGTACATACTCTCTGTGTAGTGTTGGTTGCTAAGGTACTTTGCTGTCCCTTTAAGGGAGTGAGGGAGACCCTCTGACGTCAGTGTAGTGGGAAATATTCCCTGTTGTTTGTGAAAGGATAGAGCGAAATAAATTCATTGTTGGCTGTGGCTGTTGTGGACGTGTTTGTGTTCTAAATTACAATCCTTACTTTGCTTTAATGTATGCCATCTACTCACAAGAATCAATAGCACTAATCAGCTGCTAATGACCATTACTGGGGCTAAAAGCATGGCACTGGAATGAAAAGCAAGTACAGCCTGCATGAAAATGCCATTTAATAGATGTAGGAGAAGGATAATGTTTACATGATATTAGAGAGGAGGCTACAATGAAATGTCAGAGCAAATGTCTACAGTAAAAATTAAGAATTGTTGCTATTTTTAAGCAAAACAACTGTTATTCTTTGAGTGCCATCCCTGTGAATGCTACACCAGACTTACATGTGTTTGCACTATGCAGAAAGAAAAATATCTGATTTTCTGCCAGTGTCAATCATTTTCAACTGTGTGAGTACAAAGTGTCTCAAGAGTGACAGATAGCTGTAATAGTCTTCCGTTATTCTCAGTCTCTATCCCATCAAACAGCCCTGCCCACTCTGCCTGCCCACACTCTTGTCATCCTTCAGTTCATCAGTCCCTCTGACAAAGTTAGACCCAGTCCTCCATGCTCTTCCTCTATGGAGCCATTGTCCTCTGTACTGACCTCTCTTTCGTGCTGTGGCTCTAGATCCCAGTGCAAGGAGCTGCTGTCCCTGGATCCCCGTGTGTGTGTGTCTGTACAGTTCCTGTTGCACGGCAGCCCTCCCTCCCCCATGCTATGCCTTTTTATAGCTCAGCTGAGCCTGCTCAGCCTGCATTGCATTCTGGGTAGGAGAGAGGAAGAACAGACAAGGAGAGGGAAGAAGGAGGGGAGATAAAGGATGATGGACAGGAAGCAGGGGTGAAAATAGAGACAGAGGGAGAGGAGGATATGGCTGAGCTTCACTCATTATTTTATAAGACTGTACACTGCTAGAAGGGGATTAATCAGAGAGATTACAGTTATGAGGATGTAAACTAAAAGCAAATGATCTGCCAACACCAGGTTTGCAAACATGATATTTAGATGTGATGTAATGTACATGATTTGGCCCAGTAGCATATTGGAAACCATAAATATTATGTCATGACATGCATGCAGCCATCATCAACATTATTATCTGTGTCGTGTTTTGGAATTATGAACAGTGACAAACCGGAACAGAACACTCTATTTTTTACTGCTGTATCACTTCTCTAAAATTATAGCTACAGTATGTTACATCTTGATGCATACAAAAAAGGAAGTATCACATCTGTCTGACATCTAAAAAATTGAAACTAAGTGAATACATCTGTGTTTTAATAAATTCCTTGCATTCCTTCTCAGTCTTGCTTATGCAGCTAAACTAGACATTATCCAACAAATTTGTTTAGCTGTCTGTGCTTTCTTCCACCAAACACTAAGCTTGAGGAATGCAATGCATTGACTAAGTTATTCTTATTAGGTCTAGGACTCAAAAAGGTCTGGGAGATTTTCACAGCCTGAAAACAGAAGCATACATGCATGCATGCATACATATATCCTAGATCCTAAAGTAATATCATATAAATACACAGATGGGTACAGGTCAGCACCATTGGTGATACAGTCTGTTTACAGCTGCAGTGGCAGTAAGGGACAAAACATCTGCTAAAGAGGGCTCTTCCCCCTTTTTGTGTGGACAGTGCTTTTGTAAAGCAACAACAGAAGGTGAGGGGCAACAGAAAATGCTCCAAGTTTGTATATACCATTAAGACTCTGCTGGCATTGTTTATGGATATCAATTGTGTGTGGATCAAAGCTGAGTTTACTGTCAATAAGATTCAAAGATGTGTGTTTGATGAGCTGCTGACCAGTTCTTTTGTTGTGCCAACATTCAGCTGTAGCTAGATGTCAGTGCACCATAGTGTGAAATGAGAAATGAACTGTTGAAAGGCTGTAACACAGTCATTGACATTGAGTAGTAAAAGTATGGCAGTGTCATCAGAATTGAAGTATGTGGTGATGGCTGAAGGGCTGATGCAGTGTTGATTATAATGGTTGATAATTTATTAGCCCAGTGAATGAAAAGTGTGGAGATGTTGAGGTGGTGGATTTTCTTGATCATCTGGTGGTGCTGCTTTTGTTGAAATCCAAACACTGTAAGGGGAATGGATTTTGACCTTGATGGCTATGACTTGGTATGCACAAACAGAGAGAACAAGATGGGAGGTGGTGTGGCCTTGTACATAGATAAAAACTTTTGTTATAAGAAAGTAGACAAAATGTCTAGGGTAGTAGATAATTTACTCGAATGTGTGACTGTAGAACTACTTTTGGAAAAAAAGAAAAATGTTATAATAAGCTGTATCTACAGAGCACCTGGAGCCAGAATAGAAAAATTTAATGACTGGATGGAAGAAAATTACTTG